GCGGCTCAGAGAACAGTTCCAGGCGGAGGGAGCAGAACGAGTGAGGTAAAGGAACCTTCGGGTGCCCACCTGAAGAGACAACTACAACGTCGGCAAAACTACACAATGCTTATGCCACAGTGTCTCCAGAAAGGCATTAATCTCCAAACCACCGACCGCCACCCAGCACAAAAACGAATACCCGACACTGCAGCGCATGCACCACCGCCACCTTCACTGCGTACACGGTCACCACAGTCACGTGCACAAGCGTAAACTCGACGCCTCATACCAACAACACCCATGAGAACAGTCACCCACAGAAGAAACCATACTCCCACCCATAACCGCAGCAGCGCCGACCAGCAGCGCCGCATGGCCCATGAACGCGCACATCAACGCCAACGATGACACAATACGGGCCAGCGGAATGAGCGAAGCGACTAATACATGTTGTTTAGGTGATGCCGAAGGTCGGAGGAAGCCCTTGGCCCTCAGCATCTAGCCTCTCTGGCCAAGCCCCAAGCAGAGATCGCGCGCGTCGTGGCTGGTGCGTGATGGCCAAGACAGCGTGGGGTAAATTCGTACCTGCACTGCCCAGCCCTCCTGCGCTCACGAGAGGGGCAAAGCAAAATAGAAGGCGAAGCAGTACGCCAAATACAACACATACTGCACAGGCCAGTGCCCATCGGCCACCGCCCTCGGAAGGAACGTGTTGGAAACGTCCACGGCAGGGAAAACAGAGGCACCCGAACAACAGGTACAACCCGTACAGGGAAGCACTGCCAAGCCCAACTGCACGAATGGGAAAACGCAGCACGAAGTACAGGCGGGACGTCCAGGACGGGAGGATGGGCCATACCAACCAGTGCCCATAGACCACCACCCTGGGACGAAACATGTTGTACAAGAATGAGAAAGTCAATGGCGTCCGCCGTGCATGTGGCACCAGCCTCCGACGGAATAGCTGTGAAAAGTCAGCAGACGCAGTTGAAGATTGCATCGCAGCAAGGTAAGACACACATGGAATTGCGTGTGGAAGGGGCCCGGGTCGCGCAGACCATCGTGAGCCCCCACCCCCTCCTCCCCCTCCTGATCCTCCTCTTCCTCCCGCCGTCCTCCTCCTCGATTCTCCTTTCTAAAAAGAGAATAGACTCTGCCATCCCACCCCCCCGGCGTTATCGGCCCCCCTTTCGGGTATGTACATCATGTACGATTCTGACCACATGTCAATCCTAAATATGAAATTACACTATCCCAGGGGGGCCGGTATCGACTCCCCCTGAGGTTCCCTTGTAAAAAAACGATACGCGGGGACACCGCTTGTTCTAACAAAGCACTTTTTCGCGAATCCCTTGCAACAAATGGGACGAAGTGCACACGCGCGCGCGCCGTCGCGCGCGCATGCCGAAATCCTCAAAAAACTCTCGGTGTCGGAAGGATTTCGCAATCGAGTTTCCAAAAAACTTACAAAAACACAGTGTTTCGCAACACTGAGTTGCTAAAAAAGCTTACGCGCGAGCTCTTGCGAAATCTTAAGAAAACCATGGGTTTTTCAAGAATTTCACAAAATACTACCAAACGGGCTTCCAGAACGCGCATGTCGAAATCTGTCGAACGCCCTTGCGCGTGTGCCGTCGCGACAATCCTTTGCAAAAAATGGACGAAGTGCAGACGCGCGCGTCGTCGCGCGCTTATGCCGAAATCCTTCAAAACCCATCGGCGTCGGAAGCATTTCAACATCGTGTGTCAAAGAAAAAACTATTTTCAAAAAAAGAACAAAAAAAAACAAAAAAAACAAAAAAAAAAAAAAAAAAAAAAAGTGTCGCAACACGGATGTTCAACAAAAGCGTGCGTGCGCGCTCTTGAGTCGACGTCGTCGTCGTCGTCGTCGTCCCCGTCCTCCCTCCCGCGTCGTCGTCGCCGTCGCCAACGTCGTCCTCTGTCGTTCCTCGTGTTCGTCGTCCTCTTTGGCGTCGTGGTCGTTTCCGTCGTCGTTGTCGCCGTGGTCGTCCTTCCTCCTCCTCCCTCGTCGTCGTCGTCGCCCGTCGTCGGCGTCTCGTCGTCGTCCCTCCTATTTCGACGCCGTCGTCGTCGTCGTCGTCGTTGTCGTCGTCGTCGTCTTCCCTCCTCCCTCGTCGTTGTCGTCGTCGGCGTCGCCGTCCTTCCTCCTTCTTCGTCGTTCGCGTCGTCGCCGTCCTCCCTCCTCCCTCGTCGTTGTCGTCGTTGTCGTCGTTGTCGCCGTCGTCGTCATCCCTCCTCCCTCGTCGTCGTTTTCGTTGGCGACGTCGTCGTCGTCGTCTTCATCGTCGTCGACGTCGGCGTCGTCGCCGTGCCCGCCGTCGTCGTCGTCGTCGGCGTCGTTGACGTCGTCGTCGTCGGTGTCGTCGTTGTCGCCGTCGTCGGCGTCGTCATCGTCGTCGTCGTTGTCATCGTCGTCGTCGTCGGCGTCGGCGTCGTTGTCGTCGGTGTCGTCGTCGTCGTCGGCGTCGTCGAAGTCGTTGGAGACGTCGTCGGTGTCGTCGTGGTCGCTGTCGGCGGCGTCGTCGTCGTCGTTGTCGCTGTCGTCGTCGGCGTCGCTGTCGTTGCCCAGTGCCATTTGGTACCCACCGTCACGATCCTAAGAGATTTTGCAAACCAAGTCGCGAGTGGGTGGGTGGGATGTTTGCGCGAGCAATGGAGTGGACAACTCACTGCGAACAGAAATTATGTTCACCCTTACATTCCTCCTCGTCCTCCTCCACCACTTTGTCCTCCTCCTCCTCCTCCTCCTCGTCCTCCTCCTCCTCCGCCTCCTCCTCCTCCCCCTCCTCCACCTCTTCCCCTTCCTCACCGTCCTTCTCCTCCCCCTCTGCCTCGTTTTCCCCCCTCTTCTTTTTGCTCTTGATATCACGATAAACTTTTCATTGATATTATTATGTATATACAGATTCGGTGTCTGATGATTATTGTGTTATTATTCTTAGTTTTAATATTGCGAATAAGCGTTCGCCTTCTTAGTGTTAGTATCAATCGTGCTTCTCATTTGTGGTCTCATGATTATGCTTGTTCATACTCATATCATTATATTCGTCGTCATGTAAGTGTTCCTCCTCCTCTTCCTCCATCTCCTCCTCCTCCTCAACCTCCTCCTCCTCCTCATCCTCCTGTCTCCTCCTCCCCCTCCTCCTCCTCCTCCTCCTCCTCCTCCTCCTCCGCCTCCTCCTGTCTCCTCCTCCTCCTCCTCCTCCTCCTCCTCCTCCCTCCCTCCTCCTGTCTCATCCTCCTACTCCTCCTCTTCCTCCTCCTCCTCCTCCTCCCGAGGGCGCGACGGACTTCCAGAGGCGTGCAGGCGACCGGCAGGCCGTGGAGGCTCCGCGGCACGGTGACGGCTACTTGGACGTTTCCGGCGACGGCTCGGGCGGAGAGTACGGTGACGATCCCAGGCAACGACAATGCGGGGTCGGGATGAGGAGGCCCAGGCGAGCGCGCGTCGAAGGGACCCCCCCCCCGAGAGAAAGGCCGGGAGTGGCACGGCGCTAGCACGGCCGCGGCCCCGCCGCGGGACAGCCCTCCCGAAGCGAAAGAGGACCCCGAAGACAGCAGCCCCGCGGAGAAGGGCAGCGGCACAGCGGCGGCGAGGCGTCGAGGCAGCTGGATCTCCATCCTGACGGCGTTCCCCGAGAATGCAGAGGCGCCGCAAGAGGCGGCAGGGATCGTGCCAGGCATGCCTGGACCTCGCCAGACGGTGCCGCGCGCGGAGCCCCTCGCATTCCTCCGGCCGCTGCGCAGCACCGTCGGCCCACTGCGGTACGGCACTGGCAGCATGCCGCGCGCCCAGGGCCCGTAGGCCCGCAGGCGGCACCTGGCCCCGCGAGGGCCTGACGCCGACGTGTGGCTCGCCGTGCGAGGCGGGTTGGGCTCAGGAAGAGAGGAGAAAGAGCGGCGTGCAAATCCTTTCCCTTCACAGCCATCCAGCCTGTGAGCTGACGGGCCACGAGACCCCCTCCAGCTTCGGCAGATCTCGGGCAACGCCTGTGCTGACCTGAACGCGGGTGAAGCTGCCGCCGAGGCCCTGCGTAGAGCCACCGTTAGGCCCGAGGTCGGGCGCATCGATATTATCGCCCACCTGGTGCGTCGACGTGCGGTCCGTGCCAATATTGACTGCATGGCCTTCGACCCATCAAATCCACTTCTGAGGCCACAGGGCCACGTATATGCAAGCAGGCCATGCTGACTGCCTCGGCGCACCACCACTTCGAGAGGGTGGGTGCCAGGTGGAATTTCAGGGATTGTGAGTGTTCGGCCTTGCATGCGGACCTGGAGTGGTTCGCCCAGTCCGAGTGCAGGCCCATCCAGTATGCCAGGGCAGGAGCGGTGTGCATCCAGCGTGGCGGGACGGGAGCGAGTGAGGCTTCGCCGTCGTCGCGGAGCGTGGGTGGGAAGGCACTGCATGGTACGCACAGCCTCCTGTATTTTGATTGTATGAACCTCACGTTCTCTAGTCGTTGCGGGTGCTATGCCAGTTGATATGCTGAGGACCTGGCTGATGAATGTCACCAGCTGGGGCAGCCCCGCACGGCTTAAGGCAAGCAACGTATTGCCAGAAGTGAGAGGGGATTGTGGCCGCACCCCACAAGGATGCCCAAGAAAGTTCGTGAGGCGCTGCATTACAGGGATGCGCACCGCGCTATTGCCGAGGCCAATAGCAGGGTAGCATGGCAAGGGGTGCTCGTACATTGGTACGTCTCAGGTAATCCTCCTAGGTGATCCTCCTCCTCCTCCTCCTCCTTCTCCTCCTCCTCTTGCTCATCCTCTGCCTCCTCCTACTTCCTCCTCCTCCTCCTCCTCCTCCTCCTCCTCCTCCTCCTCCTCCTCCTCCTCCTCCTCTTCCTTCTCCTCATCCTCCTCCTCTTCCTCCACTCGCTTCCCACCACCCTCATCCTGCACGATCTCGACCACGGCCTCACCCTGTTCGTCGCCCTCCTCCTCCTCCTTCTCTGCCTGGCGGCTGACGCGCAAAACCGCAGGCGGCGGCGGGCCTGTACTCCAGTCCAGTCAGCGACATGTCGAGCCTTCCGAGGGGGCACGGGGTTGGGCGCGCGGCCGGCAGCCGGCTTCATCAACCACCCTGCGCGGCCGCCTCCTCTCTCCCCCTCCTCCTCCTCCTCCTCCTCCTCCTCCTCCTCCTCCTCCTCCTCCTCCCTCCTCCTCCTCCAGCTCCTCCTCCTCCTCATCCTCCGCCTCCTCCCCCTCCTCCTCATCTTTCTCCTCCTCCCCCTCTTCCTCCTCCTCCGCCTCCTCCTCTCTCCTCTTCCTGCTCCTCTCCTCCTCCGCCTCCTCATCCTCCCCCCTCCTCCTCCTCCTCCCCCTCCTCCGCCCCCCCCCTCCTCCCTCCTCCTCCTCCTCCTCCTCCTCCTCCTCCCTCCTCCTCCTCCTCCCTCCTCCTCCTCCTCCTCCTCCTCCTCCTCCTCCTCCTCCTCCTCCTCCTCATCATCATCATCATCATCATCATCATCTCCTCCCTCCTCCCTCCCCCTCCTGCTCCTGTTCCTCATCCTCCTCCTCCTCCTCCTCCTCTGCTCCTCCTCCTCCACCTCCTCATCCTCCCCCTCCTCCTCCTCCTCCCCCTCCTCCGCCCCCCCCTCCTCCTCCTCCTCCTCCCTCCTCCTCCTCCTCCTCCTCCTCCGCCTCCTCCTCCTCCCTCCTCCTCCTCCTCCTCCTCCTCCTCCTCCTCCTCCCTCCTCCTCCTCCTCCTCCTCCTCCTCCTCCTCCTCCTCCTCCTCCCCCATCCTCCTCCTCCTCCTCCTCCTGCCGGCGGAAGTCGGCGGAAATCAAAGATGCGCCCCCAAAGATGGCAACCTGTTTTAGGTTCAGGGCTTCTGGAACCCGCCAGATGGGGTCCAGAGGATCGCGCCGCATCGACGATGCGTCGACGATGTATCGGCGACGTCGGCAGTGCAACGGCGACGCAGGAGTGGAGCAAAATCGTGATCCACATCGAGCCGCATCGCCGATGCATCGGCGACGCGCTCCAACCTATTCAGACCCGAACTAGAGAGCCTAAAGGAGTGCAGGTCGAAGTCTTACCGTGAGGAGCCCTCGGCAGGGAATGAAAGCCTCTCGGGGGCCTCGGTTGCGCCCAGATGAACTAAGAGCGTTGGGGAGGAACTGCAAGGGAGACACCTGAGGAAAACATCTCAAAGTTTGTTTGACTGCAGCAAAGGCCGATGGGGGATGACGACCTGGGCAGAGCTCGGGTATGAAGATCTGTGTCTCCAAGTGGCAATCCTCGGCCAGAAGGGCCGTCGGGAAGCGGCGAATGCATACCTCCTAGATCGCGCTTGTTGTGTTGCTGGTCCACCTGCCGCGGGGGCATGAATGCATTGACCTGACCAACACCGCACTGAAGGGCCATCTGGAAGCGATGGCATGTCGTCTCCGATCTCGGGTAGTTCCCAAGGGCTCCCAACTTCGCGCTTCGCGCTGCGCGAAGCGCGAAGTGCGAATAACTTCGCGCTCTCGCGCCGCCTCCCAGGGGAGAAGAGGAGGATGAGGAGGAATCGGAGCCGAACCGCGAAGCGCAAAGCGCGAATAACTTCGCGCCCTCGAGGGCGCCCTTGGTTCCTGACGCCGGCTCGTCTGTTGACAAGTCAGTGGAGGGCAAGCCAGAGCAGTGTAAGGACATGGGTGTTGTCCGTTCTCCTTTGCTTCGCCGTTCTGTCCGAGGTCTGCGAGATGGCGCCAAGAACGGTATGCTGAGGCTTCGCCGTGGAACGGGTACGATTACTCTTGTTCCTACTCACCCCACTCGGAGGAGGCATGGCGAAAAAGGAAAAAGAGGAGATGAGGAGGGGAAGGGGGAGGATGGTTATGATGGTGATGAGAAGAAGGACAAGAACCCAACGATAGGCGTGATGATGAAGAGAAGTAGAGTACAGAGGAGGAGAAGGACAATATATACGAAGAGGGGATGAGAAGAGAGGAGCAAGTGAGGGGAGGAGAAGATGCAAGAGCAGGGGATAAAAGTGCAGGTCGAGATCCGAAGGGGACTAGAAACGGAGGCGATGGAGGGGGCACTCCTGATCATTCCTCTGCATCTGTTTAACTCATCCTTCCTCTACGTTCGCCAATGAGTCCCCCTCCTCCCCATAATCTTCCTCCTCTGTTTCATCTCAATCGTCATCGTCATTGGTCTTTTCTCGGTGGCGGAATGGGCCGGAGGCCATGAGATGCACACCGTCCCCGATCTGACCAGCGGCGAAACGGGAAGCAAGGAAACACCCGCCCCCGACCACACCCATCCACCGTCCCCGACAACAAAAAAAACAATACAAAAGGCTCTGGACGGCACAAAATCTGGAGCATGTTCGGGCGCCCCGCGGTCACTTGACAAGGCGTTTGACAGGCGCAAGCATATTAACCAGCCTCGAACGCATCCCTATCCCTAAGATAGGCGAGCAAAAAGCGAGGGCAACCTTAGGGATAGGCCCTCAAAAACTGAGGGAGTCCCCAAGATCGGCATCGAGGCGAGGTGATGTCAAACATAGGGACAGGGATATGTTCCAGGCTGGCAACATACTGCCTGGTGTGCACAGGCCCCACATCCCTGTCAACACACAGGCTCACAGTGGGCGCTGCGGCAGAGTCGGGCCGTGCGCGGAGGCCCCGCGAGCATCTGGCACTGCCATCTGATAGGGCGGATGGGGGCGCCCAGGCACGCGCGGCGCACCTCGCGGGAGAGCGCACCTGGCTGGCGTCCGCACTGGTTCCCGATGGCCCTCGACTGCGACCCCTGCCCTGGGAGTGAGCGAGCCGGCCGCCCTTCGGAGAGGGGTGGCATGACCCTCCCGTTCCCATCCTGCTTAAGGACCACATCTCAGAAATGAGTTCG